AACTTTTATTGAATTTAAAAAAGTATATTTGTTTAAAAAGATGCTACTATCTCCGAAAGTCTCAATTTAACATGATGTTTTGTCATCTTGGATATTCCTATGGATCACGAATATTGTTATTATTACGAGTCACAATATATTTATAATTTAAATATTATAAATATAAATATAAAAAATAAATTTTATAAATTTAATAAATAAAGTAAAATATTTGTTACATATTGTAATAAAATATTATCAAATGAAATCAATTAAAATAATTCTTAAACCAATATTTTTATTTCTTTTAATAATATAAAATTTATAAAAATCAATTGAATTTGAAAAAAATATTTTTAGATCATAGAATTAAGTATTTATTCTATATTCAAAAATATTAATATGAATTAAAATAATTCTTAATTTTTATTTTTATGCCTTTCAATAAAAATTCAAGAAAATAAATAAATTTGATATTAAATTTGAAATGAATGATAAATTTGAAATGATATTAATTATTTATTATATATTTTAATTTAATATATATGATCAATTAAAAAGGTTTTAAATCTAAATTTTTTTTAATTTTAATAAAAATTTATATATAACTCATTGATTTATTAACTAATGAATATAAAAAAAAATTTTTATGACTAACAAAATAATTCATTTAGCATATATTTTGAAAAAATTATTATACTCAATTAATATAAACCTTATGTCTGAACTCTTATCGCTTTTAATAAGAATTTATATGAAATTAACACGAAAAAAAAACTTTTATAGAAATATTATTTAAATAATGAAATTAAATATTTATTATATATTTTAATAACATGTTTATATTTAATTGAAAAATTTTTAAATACAAACATGTAAGTATTTCCTATTATAATCAAAGTTATAGTCTTCAAATAAATTCCTTAGAGGATTTGAATATATTGGGTATTGGGCTTTGTACAGGGACTGTAAATTCATACGTCAATAAAGAGCAATGATCCAAGTCAAAATGTTTTCTGTAGCAGATTATTAGAAACATACCCTGCTATATTACGAAAGTACAAAGTATAGGGACGGTAACAAAGCTGTTAGAAAGTCCTGCCTGATGAATAAATTAAGAATCTTAAAACCATTCACAATTTTTATTCAAACAAATTATATATATTTAAATACTAAAAACTATCTTTATTTATTTATTAATAAGAATAGTTTAGTTTATAGTACTAAAACCTAATATGTTTAGATATAGCGCTGGCTGGCTTTGGCTATAAAAAAACTTTTTTATTACAATAGGTTCTCTTTATAATTAATTTCTGTGTTGATTTTAATTTTTATATCAGGTCGATAACTTTTCAGCCAAACAGCTGGCTATCTCACTGATGTCTTGAACTCTTTTTATTTCATCTACTGTCCTCTCTCTGTTACTGTCCTTGAAGTCAATAAAGACAATACAACCAAGACACTATCATTATTGTTAGGGGATGTGGCACTGCGAGAGTCGGGTCTATTGTGCCCCCTTCTAGGTTTTGAGTGGGTCTCTAAGCCCTGTTACGTCAATAAAAAGTAGTATAGAATCTACTTTATAGAGTTTTATTGCCTCTTCCGAACCAAGACACAAATCTATGCCAAATCACGGAATAATATTGAATATGAATGTTCTTACTAATATATGTATGAATTGGTTGAGCTAAATAATGTTATATATGGAAAAAATATTTGTCAAAAAAAAAAATTTGATTCATATAAAAAAAAAAATGTTTTAAAGGAATTTTTTTAAAACATCCACCAAAAAAAAATTTTTTAATTTGTCCTTAATTTTCATTATATATGCAACAAGGATGTGCTGATCCGCATACTTATGCACTTGTAGATAAGAACGCAAACTATTGTTACTGACTATGAAAATAACTTACCGTTGACGAGTCAGGCGGAAACTTAACCAATATATCAGTTAGGGTGAACCATATATATATATATATATGTTAAGAGCAACTTTTTTTTATATTTAATAAATATATAATAGTATAAGCAGTGACATATGCTACTACTAGACTAAGTTCCAAGTTATAGAGGCGCACCCCTTTGCACTGCACCTCAATATGCACAACAATCTGCAGCGTGTCTAAGTAATTAAAAATTGTAAACATTTTTAGGGAAAAAGGTGGATAAAGTTTGTTGTCAGTAGTACAAGGACAAACACCCTTTACCACTTTTCCAACCGGAAGGACGATATCGTTCACTACCACCAACCACGGTGAATGCACACGGAAGAATCCATCAAATGCAAGGTGTATGTACACAAGAAATACCAAAACAGGCTAAACGACGATCAGCATTTTTAGCACCGGCCAAAAATACTAACAAAACCAACAACAAAAACAACGACAACAACAAAACTAACAACAACGGCACGCAGACTTTACTTAATAATGCTGTGTTGTTATTATAATTATTTTTGTTGTTATTGTTATTGTTATTTACATAACAACAAAGAGTTGCATTTATTTGGAAAATTCTTCTACACATTTTGCATATGTTTTTTGTGCATGTGTGTATGTATGTGCGTGTGTATGTAATGTTTTGTTGACGTTGACGTTGATGTTGTTGCGCTTCTTATTTTCATTGTATAATAATTACACTCAATTGTTGTTCCTCTTCTGCTAGTTTTATGCTCTTATTACTGTTTTTATTTGTTGTTGTTAGGTTGTTAAAGAAATGAAGGTGGTAAGTTTATTGTTGGTGTTAGTGTTGGTATTGGCGTTGGCGTTGGAGTTGGTGGTGAATATTTATTAACATACATATTTATTTATATGTTTGCATATTTTAATAGCAGCTGTGCTAATAGAGAAATTATTGAAGCACCTTTCCTTATCCTAACATTATAAAGATATATGCACACACGCACGCACATTTATGTTTGCGACTTATCTTTGGGTAGTCTTAACTCGTTATTTATAGCACCGAGCATGTTGAAATCATAGCTTGCATCAGCGCTACTCTATATGTTTCGCGGATTGTTGCCGTTTCTATACAAAAAAAAAAAAAAACTGATATGTAATAAAGAAGTTGCCTTCTTATTATAATAAGAATTTTTTATCTCTTCAATATGCTGATAATGACAACCGTTTTCAATCGCTCGCTCGCTCCAGTGGTGTTGGTAATTTAGCACCCTTTTTAACTATGTAGATCTATAGTGTATAAGAGTTCCTGTGTGTAGTTGTAGTTGTAGGTTAGGAGTATTTATGAATATCAAATGTAATTTACTTATTACTATTATAGGCAGTAAAGTCTCATAGCTTGGATATGTCTTAATTTTTTTTTTTTTGTGTCAGTGTTTACTTTGTCATGTTAAGTTCTAAAAAAAAATTATGTAAATATGCCTTCAATTTTTATTACATATAAACCACCTGTCCTCTATGACAAAATAATGAAAATGGTTCATATGTGTTCTTATCTATAAGGAGAGGACAAAACTATAAAACTTTTTTTTAAAGTTTTTTTTTATAATTTGTTCTATCATAAAAAAACAAATCTTTTATTTTTCCAGAGTGCTATGTAAAATGGTTTATTATTTATTAGTAGGCATCTAAGCCATCAAGAATATGTATCTATTAGACGATTGACAGGTACTAGATTCTGATTTTGTAAAGTTCCTTAAGAATAGAACTTAAACTAAAACAAAACAACATATTTGGCATATTTTCCCATAAATTGAGTTTATTTCAACTACCGAATCATTGGTAATTTGCAGTAAAATGGGTCTTAGACAAGATTGCCGATGTAAATATTGTATTGAACAGCGAAGTTATTATCAAATCTCTATTAAACGCTACAGTTACATCCTGAACGATTCAAGAATGTCAAGCTTAACGAGCTATATTCTGACATTTATTTCTTGAAAATTTCTATCCCACTAGCAACTAGTTGGCAATTAAACAAATATATCTAATCATAGATAGGCAAACTTGGGCAGGTTATCTCGAATTTCAAGACGTAAATTGTTTAGCATTACAATATAGGTGCTGATGGGTCATTACGTGTAAGGAAAATTTCCTATGAGACTGGGTTTATCCTAAACTGGCTGTGTCCTAATATAATAGTCATTATCAGCAAACAGCATCGCGAAATCTTTGGAAGGCAAATAATGAACTGCTGTTGACATTTCTGAAAGCTGATTTGAGGGAAAAATATATAAGTAAATCTCAACAAACTAACCGATTATATAAAGACTTAACACCATCACTAGGAAAGGAATATATAGCTGACATAACACATGTTAAAAATATCACCTGGATACTCAAAGCAAGAAGTAGCATGATACAGCTAAATGGAAACAGATTTGATATATATACGAGTAGATCTGCGCTCTGTAGTATGTGTAATTTAGATGAGACTGAAGATATTGTGCATTTTCTTGGTCGTTGTCCTATTCTACAAGAGTTCCGATTGGCTTGCTTTGGGAAAGCTATTCTATCTTATGAAGGCATTATAAATGTTTTAAACGGTTCGGAGGTAGAATGGGTAAGAGTAGCAGAATATGTAAAAAATTGTATAGCATATCGGTATTATTTAATATCACAATATAATAATTAATATATAGTTTGTGGCTCTTCTATCATTTATAATGTGTTTATACTAGTTTATTGTTATACTCCCTATTGCACAACTACTTTTAATACTACTATTACAATATAAGTCGACGGACGACATCGTGTCACAGTCGCTATTTTAATTATATTTATTTTTATATTTATTTATATATTAATTTAAGATACATCATATTGTAAAAATGAAATTTAAAATGAAAATAAATATACATACATACATAGTCATTATATGTTGACTCATAATGATGATATCTTTATCATATCAACAATTTTAATAACAACCTAAAATTTTCTCTAGTATTTAGTTTGGATTTGCCTGCTTAATACAAAACTCGAATACACTTTCGTGATACCTTCACATATAAAAAATAATAATATATAAATTTAAATAAAATACTTATATTATGGATTGTACATTAGAAGCCAAAATTTATTAAAAGATATGTATATGTGGACATTTAAACAACATACATATTATACTCATTTACTGCTTAACATGAATATTAAATTTTTTTTAACTTAAAAAAGACAATATCTCTAAGTCTTTTATATTCCTTCAGCCATAGAATATATTCAATCGTTCGGCATATATTAAAAAAAACAGCAGAGGAAACATATTACTCCTAGGAAAAAATTTTAAAATGTCGAGAAATCTTTCTACATCACCAACAACAGTTGCCATAACGGTTTTAGAGATGCCGATCCATGTACGAGTTTAAGCGTAACTGAAACCAACAACATTGCAATTAATAGAGCAGAATGGTCCAATAGCGATATATAAAGAAAATTGAATACATGCAACGGAAAACAGTCCTTGAACGGGAAAACTGCTCCAGGCTTGAAATAACACACAGGATGTAGTTCTAGTTACAGTACACGAGCGTACATAGACTTTGAAAGTTCAAAATAGCGGTAGTTTTTCATTATTCAAGCCAAATAAAAGGAAAACTGCATAGCCTACAAGTGTAGGCATTCCAATGTAACGTGGATCACTACTGATGGCTCTACTATCAACGAAATAGACCACGATTTCTTCAAATCTAAATGACGTCTCTGGAAAGCTGATTTATGTGAGTAGCAACATCGAGTCGAGTACATAGAAATGGTCAAAAACATAAGTCGTTCATGTAAGAACTAAGAAAAAAAATTATTAATATGAAAAGTAACAAGATTTAATTACTATAGTATATAAACTCACCAGAACGAATAGTTAAATACTTATTATTTCCATGCATGCCTATTGAACATGCCTGTTCAATAGTTAGTTCAAATCAGGATTTAAGAATGATTAAAATTTCTTCATCCTTCGCTGATATCTGGCTTCTAGAAACTTAGTTTAAAGTGACCATATGCGAAAATATTAAAAAATATATAAAAACCTGCTGTGAAGAGCTTTAATTATCTATTATATTTAATATGTGAACATCAAATTCCTAGATCTATATCTTGTACTCCAGAAAGTAAATAACCATTCAAACACCATGCAATATCGTTTTTGACTTTCCTATGATCGTGCAGTACCTAGGATTGTGTTTTAGAATGTTATAAGTTTAATAAAAATATTAGCCACTTACCTCTTCTGCTGCAATTGATTATTCTTCTACATGTTATTTTCATATTAGTTTAGATTAACTCGACCATAGACATGCATATTCTAGAAGCACTCACAAACAGGGACGTCACTACCTTGTTAATATTTTACGAATCGTTACCATAAAATAATTTTTTTACTTTACTAACAATCGTAGTTTTGATGGGCGTAGCTCCTTTTTCGACAGGTATTGGGATGGGTTCCATAAAAATCTAAGTAAAGTATACAAAATTATAATAGTTTGGATAATTTGTTAAATGAAATTCTTAGGTACTTACTGGGGTGCTTACAATATTGTCCTTAGTAATATGTTTATCTATATCTGGCAGTTGTTTAAATAAAAATTTTGAATAAATTTTACGGGAAGCCATGGCAAAATTTTGAAAGAAGCCTAAAACTTTGAAGCCTAAAAATTTTGAAGAAAGAAATTTTGAAAGAACGGATATATATTATTTCTTTATTTTTGAAAACTAACTGTTGACAATTTATATTATGATATCATGTGACTTGACAGTAAAATCTTTAATATATTTTGAAATGAAATTACATTTGAAAAATATTTTACATATATGTGAGTGTAGCTAAAGAGGGGAGTATTTGAGCATACTAGACCCCTTAGCTTTTGGTTGTTATATTAGTCAGTAGAGTTCCACTTTGACTGCTTTGATGGTATTGCAAAAAATAGATCCCATCTTTTGTATAAATATTAAAGATTATATAAATATATTTTGGAAAAATTAAAATTTCTCTTTACTTTTTGACAACAGCTCGCATACATAAATTGAACAATTAACTACGATGTTGCGTTACACATACAGAAAAATCGCGGGATGAAGAAGTAGAGTTAAAATACTATAAACATGACACAAAGAGCTGGAGCCCTATTATATTAATACATATATTTCTATGTTTCTTTACCAATCATTTCTTTATTTTTTTTATAGTTTTATTCTTAACTTAATTAGACTATGACACTTTTTGCTGGACCTGGAAAACATTGTTCTTCCCTGAAGATATCAGGTGAAGACCAGTTAAGAGCTTTGTTGTTCAAACAAACATGATCTCGAAAAGCACACTGCATCTCACTGACCTTAACTCCATTTCAATAGCCGTTGATGTATTCATGATATGAAGAAAGGGATCCACAGTTGATTTGTGGAGAGAGGGCTCTACAGATCATATTGTAATTGTGGTTTCCACCTTTGCGTCACGTAAGTAGATATTGTTTAGACAAGAATTGTATAGTGAGATGATATGAACAGAAAGGGCAGCTGTGTTGTAAGATTGAACTTACAATTATCTTACAGTTTTAATGTCTAATACCAAGAGATGTTTGTGACTTTTTTTTTAAGTGATTTTTGTTTTTCAATCATGAAAAAAATTAGTTACAAAATTATTTTATTTGCTATAGAGGTTTCGAAAAGTGATGAACTACAACAACAAAAATTTTTTTATATTATTTTAATTAATTGACAGCTTTTTCCAGTATTGCCAAATACCCATCATCAATAGTCTTGGAAATATTTCTTGTATTTATTTATTCATAAATTATCCATTTAAAAAGGGGTAACAATTTTTTTAATATGTCAATATAGCAAAGTTTTCAAAATATTAGACTTTAAAGTTTGAAACTTTTATATAGGTTACATAAAGTTATACCCGTGATGCTAAGGCTCCATATAGGCTTTTTGGTCCATTGTGGTACCGTATAAGACCTTAGTGATAAAAATGCTTTTTATAGCGAAACTCTGGAGCTATCCAAGATCCTCATAGTAAATGTAAGGCACTTTCATCGTCCTTCAATAACTACAGCAAGAATGTTAAACGGGAGATTTAATCCTCTAACATGGTTCCTTAGTCGACCGTGACCCATCAACAAACCTACCACAAGACTGATATCTCTATGGAATATCTCAATATAAATATTGCATATTTTGCATTAATAGTTTAAAACTTTTAAAAAATTTTCAACTTTAAATCGTGACATTTTAAGAAGTAAGCTATATCGGTATTTAGCGCTGAGGAAAAAGATGCCTAAAATAGTTGCTTTTACTTAAATTTTTTGTCGAATCGGCGCTAAATATAATATAGTTGTGGTAATTATTTTTTTTTTCTTCAGCTCGCATTATAATTTATTTTTACCAAAATGACAGATGGAGCGATGATTATGTTGACCGCTATATTGGGTTGTACTAAAGAAAGCATTGTCCCTGACGGGAACACTTTGCATGGATAAATTTTAATTAATATTTATCTTCTTTGTAAAACAAACTTAAACAATTCTTATTAATTTATATCTTTACATCGGATTACGTGTTAAGTCTAGTGTTCATTCATATTGAGAGTAGATGTGAATAAATAATTTCTGTGTATCCCTTTAATCATTTTTATAGCCCAGCCATATCCAATTTTCAAAGAAATATAAAGAAATACATTAAAAAGATTTAAACTCGTGCATATCTGAAACACTTTTATTAGTGTGGCATTCATCATACTTAAACGTATTAAACACGCATACAAATCTAATATTGTATACTCACTGTACGTGTAGATATATGTATGTATATAGAAGAAATCGTATCTGAGATATATACGACGGACTTGTGTGTTATGAACTGATATTCGTAAGTATCTGAATTTGTGACTTGGTACACATTAAAATATTTGTTACCAATTTTAACACCATCGTCCCTCGACGCTGTCACCGTGAGTTACACACGCAATGATTTATGCCTCCGAAAAATGAAGAAAAAATTGGAATACAAATAATTGATATGAAAAAAAAAATGTTGGATTTGAACGTTTGTTGGTGCTCATGCGCAATAAATTCCACTTTTATGACACCTGACAAAATACAGCTCAGTTGTCGGAACAGCAGTTGTAACAGCTTCTTGGACTTTTACGATTCCAACCGAACGCAGTTCCCAGCTTCTTGGCTACATCTTCTTCTCCTCACAATTGTCTGTAGCCGTTTTTCGCTTAATGGCTTCGCTTCTGCTTTTTATTGCCCTGCTAGTCTATTTAAGATTAATTTCCAGTTTTTTAATTTTTTTAAGATTTTTTTTATATCTTATTTTATATCTCACTTATATTTTTTTATTAGTTTAACACACGAAACATGCGAGCATATTGCAGTTAAACATATTGAATTGTCTTTTAATAAAGTCATAAATTGTTGAGTTGTGATATCGAAGTAATTTAATGCATGTTGAGTTGATTTAAATTAAATTGAATTGCCCTACTCCGCTTCCTCACCTACAGCTTCAGTTTCAGTTTCAGGCACACAAATTGGATAAGCAATGTACTGGTGTGTACAGCTTGCTTTGAGCATTTCGTTATTTAAGGTGTTTTAACCCATCAGTGAAGAATTCGGAGTACGGAATTATTTAATTCATTTCAGACTTCAACTCCATATAGCACTTAAAAAATTTGTGATCCGTATAGCAATTTGAGTATCTAATTATTAAAATTGTTTAAATTCATTTTATTTTTCCAATAATTGCCCTTAACCACTCCAAGTGTAGTTTGAACATTCCATGCAGTGTCTATATAGCCTTAGCTAAATGACTAATCCACTGTAGTTTTTATAATATCCCGATTGTTCCTAGCGCTTTAAAACCATTCAGTACTGCATCTTGCCTTGAGAACAATTTCACTCAGTAATAAAGGAAGCCATACAATATGCATGCGTAGAATCGCAGGAGACGGCTGAAATCGTTGACAACAACGAATCCACACAAATATGTAGTGGCGACAGTAAGATAAAATGTGGTAGATGTAGCACCGCATTCGTTATTCGCTCTCCTGATAATAATTATAAACCATTTTATATCGGTATTGAATAAAATTACCATATGCAGATCAGCATGCAAAAATCACAGCAAATAAAAAATCTAAATAGACATACACTTAGTTCCCCATTAATTACGCTAAGCGTCGATCTTTACCTATAATCATTTCCAAACTCTTGGCTATTTCAAAATATATCGTAAATGCTTTGAAATTTTATTTTAAATAACACTAAATAACACTTTTTTCTGGTCATACCTTTAATGAAATATATTATACCTTAAGCGATTCACAATAATCCATAAAGATTTCTGCTCATATGATAATTGAACAGCACAGTCTATGGTTGTCCGCGTACTGATCGCTCAAGAGTTTAACACTATGCAAGCTATATAAAGTTTTAGTATGCGACATCAAGGCTTTTGCTTCAGAAGTCCCCTTTAATTCTATCCTTTGAAGAGTTCATAAAAAAAAATAAAGCTTTTAATAGTAATATCTAAAATTTAACTTATAAAAGCTAATATTAACTTTCAACAAAAATTAAATCAAATTAAATTGACGTAAGGCATTATGTATAATACTCTTACGAATTCAAATAACATTTGTTTATAAAATTCTTACACTATATACACTAAGGGACCTATACCCTGAACTTAAAAAATTTGCCAAGCATTGATAATTATTTAACATTTTTCTTATTTGTCAAGATTATTTATTTATTTGTATGCATAATAAAATTTATAGTTATATATACCTAATATATGCTTAACAAGTTCTTGTAAACCCTTAAATTTAAGTTAGTTATAGTAATTAATACACAACTCGGAGAATGGTTAGCATAAATCCACAAACACTTTGTAGTCCCCTTTACAAGGTACAAAATATATTATGGCATAATGGATCTGAAGGTTGCAAAGCAATATCTCCTCTTTGTAACAACCTAATATATCTCATGCAACGAGCCAATGATCTTCATTGAGAATCATCCAAATTAATAGTTTATGTTATTCGAAGATTATCTTTGTGTGATGTGGTGTACTCCGAACTCATTCCAGGAAAATATGTTTATGAATCTGAATGCGAATCTTTCATAAAATAATGTGTCTATATACATCAGACCAACAACTTTTCGTCACACCTGTTAAATACAGAAAGACACTGACTAATTAATTTCTTCCTGCACATCTTTGTTATAAATAAAAGGGACAGTTCCATTTGCATTGTCTTATAAAAGAAACAAGACTTACTCCAAATTTTTAATAAAAATAATAGAATTAGCAAAGAAACTAGAGTATATAAAACCCGAAAATGTGGGTATATTTGTAATACTTTTAATCTTTACTTTTTCACATCTTCACATATAGTTAGCAGTAGTCCCTTAGCAACTTATGTATTACAATCGGCTTAATACATATGGGTATGTATTAAGCAAAACTTGTATATGGCGACGATTACATAAAACTGAAATCCTTTCTGTCCTACTTACAGAGAAGATTTTTGTTATTAAAACACCTCATGTAAGTCATCTCATGTAAGTCGACAACACATAATGCAACACATTGCTCCGTGCAGTAAACCAACACGAAGTGATTTACAATTCTTCTCTATAAATAG